TAACGTGCCCCGTTGTTTCCTACAACTTGTCCGAACTGTTATCAACCAGGGGGAGGAGAAGCTGGAAAACTGTTATCATTCCAGAGATACAACACAGCTTTTGTTCTAACTCACGCTTTTCTCAAAAGTCTTTGGTTATGGTTTTTTTTTCATTAAAATGCACTGGAAAACTTTTTTTCTTCTTTCCTTCTGCCCAAACCACCCTTACCTCACCTCCTTTTCTTTTCCTGTTAATACTGTTGAAAATCTGAAATAAAAAAACTTTAAAAAAAAAAAGAAGAAAAATCTCAGTAATCCTCTCCACTGCAAACAGTTTGGTTTAAAAAAAATAAATTAAAAAAAATACAAAAATATTTTGCAACAAAAATTGGTGAGACGCTGACCCAAGAATTCCTATGGACAAATCTCTATTGCACTTAGTTGAAAATTGATGAATGAAACATCACACGCTTCAGACAACAGATCGATTCATCTAACAGTATCTGACAGCAAAAAGGTATTTAGTCATGTATTATTATTTTTTACAATCAAACAGCTTGCAAGATTTTATTTTACATTATACTTTATTTGGTTTCTCTTTTAATGGCTTTTATTTTTAATAATAAATAAATGTTACATTTTTATTTATTAAAGATTTACTTCAACCAAAATCCAATGTTTCCATAAAACACTGGTTTTGGTTGGAGTAACTCTTTACATGGGTGGTCGCCGCCACCGCCGCCGCCCACCACCAAATGCCAAAAAACAAAAAGCAAAACCTTTAACGTAACTTTTCTCTCAGCCCAATTTTCGTCTGCTGACATCACTCTCACCTTGCCGGAGGGGGGAGAGTGAGTAGGGAGGACGGACTGAGGGTAGGTCATGGGTGGTATGAAAGGGGGCAGTGCTGCCATTGGCTGTCTGGTGTCAGCAGGGCTGGATTAACATAGGGGCTGATGGAGCTGCAGCTCCAGGCCTAGGCCCATGGAAGAGGCCCATTGGTTTAAAAAAAAAATATTTGTTTAATTTTATTTCTTTTTTTTTACACACTACTCGTAGGGTTGCCAGGTATTTATCATGTATTTCTTATGGTTGGCAGGTATTTCTCAGAAGTATTTCTCAGGTATTTGAGGTTGCCTAGCCAGTGCCAGTATTGCAGTAATACCAGCAATATAAATGTCTGTCTCAATATAAACAGAGATTATTCTGCAACACCAGCGCCAGCCAGTAGGGGTCGCTGTTTGTGTGGAGAGAGGCAAGGATAAGAAGTTACAGCATCTCCCTCCCTGCCTCTCTCTACTCACTGATCCGCGGGGGAGCAGCTCTGCACAGAGAGTCCAGACAGCAGTTTCGAGCCCGAGAGACATGGGCACTGTGAGAGACTTGGGGACGCTGAGACATTGGGACACTGGGAGACATAGGGACACTGGGGAACATGGGGACCCTGAGACACCCCAGGTCTCCCAGTGGCCCCATGTCTCCCAGTGGCCCCTAGTCTCTCAGTGTCCCCATATCTCTCAGTGTCCCCATATCTCTCAGTGCCCCTATGTCTCCCAGCCAGTGTCCCTAGTGTCTTCCAGTGTCCCTGGTGTTTTTCAGTGTCCCCATGTCTCCCAGTATGCCTGGTGTCTCTCATTGTCCCTAGGGTCTGTGTCCCTAGTCTGTCAGTGTCCCCATGTCTCTCCCAGTGTCTCAGTGTCCCCAAGTCTTACAGTGTACCAATGTCTCTAAGTGTCCCCTAGTGTCCTAGTGACATCGGGACACTGGGAGACATGGGGACAAAGACTCTAATGGACACTGGGATACATGGGGATACAAACATTAGGGGACACTGAGACACTAGGGGACAGTGAGAGACATGGAGACACTGGGGGACACTGGAAGACATGGAGACACTGGGGGACACTTTGGGACATGGGGACACTGAGCGACTTTGAGACTTGGGAGATATGGGACACTCCCAGTGTCCCTATGTCTCCCAGCCAGTGTCCCTAGTATCTCAGTATCCCCATGTCTCCCAGTGTCCCTGGTGTCTCTCAGTGTCCGTAGTGTGCAATTGTCCCTAGTGTCTCTGTGTTTCCTAGTCTCCCAGTGTCTCAGTTTCCCAATGTCTCCCAGTGTCCCCAGTGTCCCTAGTCTCTCAGTGTCCCCATGTCTCTCCCAGTGTCTCAGTGTCCCCAAGTCTTACAGTGTACCAATGTCTCTAAGTGTCCCCTAGTGTCCTAGTGACATCGGGACACTGGGAGACATGGGGACAAAGACTCTAATGGACACTGGGAGACATGGGGATACAAACATTAGGGGACACTGAGACACTAGGGGACAGTGAGAGACATGGAGACACTGGGGGACACTGGAAGACATGGAGACACTGGGGGACACTTTGGGACATGGGGACACTGAGCGACTTTGAGACTTGGGAGATATGGGACACTCCCAGTGTCCCTATGTCTCCCAGCCAGTGTCCCTAGTATCTCAGTATCCCCATGTCTCCTAGTGTCCCTGGTGTCTCTCAGTGTCCCAATGTCTCAGCGTCCCCAAGTCTCTAACAGTGCCCATGTCTCTCGGGCTCGAAACTGCTGTCTGGACTCTCTGTGCAGAGCTGCTCCCCCGCGGATCAGTGAGTAGAGAGAGGCAGGGAGGGAGATGCTGTAACTTCTTAGTGTGCAATTGTCCCTAGTGTCTCTGTGTTTCCTAGTCTCCCAGTGTCTCAGTTTCCCAATGTCTCCCAGTATCCCCATGTCTCCTAGTGTCTCAGTGTCCCCTAGTATAAAATAAAAATTCTCAGGCACTCACTGTGATAGATTTAAGCAGGTTTATTGGACACCACAACATTTCGACCTGTACCCAGGTCTTTATCAAGTCTCCAGTGTCCCCTATGTATCACAGTGTCTTAGTGCCCCATGTCTTCCAGTGTCCCCTCATGTCCCCATGTCTCCCAGTGTCCCCAAGAGTCTGTGTCCCCAGATCTCCCAGTGTTCCCTAGTATCTCAGTGTCCCAATAGTTTCCTTCCAGCACCATCTCCATCAGATACATGACGCTTGGGAGGTAGGACTGTTTTAGTGTTTTTGGTCAATAAGATTTTGTAATTAGGCCCATCATAATTGTCAGCACCAGGCCCACTGGGCTCTTAATCTGGCCCTGGGTGTCCGCATGCTGTGCATACTGGCATCAGACGCCAATTTTGAACAGAATTTATATTAGTGAGCTCTGAACTCTTGTTCCAAGCTGGCTAATGACATGTCTACTACTACCATATTTGGAGTTTCTGACTGCATAGGGGTCAATCATTGTATGTGCAATTTCTTAACATGAAACACTGCACATACAGGCTTCAAGCATCACAGCAACTTCAAATAACTGCAGTGGTCATGGTGGTTGGAGTAATCCATTAGAGAAATGGTCCCTGACTCCCTGCATAGTGTCAGATTTTGCAATGACTAATAAAAATTTTCGTCTTATGCTTGGATAATACAGAGCCTGTCTGACACTCATCCAGCTCTCTACTGTAAGTCAGGAATGTAGGCAGTGGTGTATCCTGGTTTTGTGCTGCCCTAGGCAGGACAAAACTCAGGCACCCCCCCGCGCCACCTCCACCCGCGCAACCGCCACCCAACCTTCCCCCCTGCTCCGCCTTCTAAATACACACACACACATTCACTGACAGATACGCATTCACTAGCTAACAGAAACACACAGTCACTAACAGACACACACACTAAGACATTCACACTAACAGACATCCACACTAACATACATACACTAACATTAACATACACACTAACACTAACAGACACACACTGTAACGGATCGCCTGGCACCCCGACTGGGTACCTCCGTTAAAGGATGCTCCTAGCGCTTCCTGAGGACTCCAAGCACTGCAGCAGACACCACAACCACCGAACCGGAGAAGCATATGAATCCTCTCAAGCATATGAATGCTGCAGACAGTTGAATAGGAACCATACGAATAGGTTTACTCTCCAAGCAGTCAAACTGGAACAGCATACAATAAATCCTTCCCCCAATAATGAGACGACACTTCACTTTGAGGGTTAAAACAGGAACTCACTGTACTGTCACATACAGTCTCTTTTATTCCCAAATCACAAACATAGTACAGCCCACAGGGCGTTACAAAACAACCAATCACATATCAGTTACATCCCACATATTCCCTCCCCTTATCCTGAGAGGAAACTCAATTATACATACAGTTAAAACATACTTTCTACCCAACTTTCATAACTCCAAAACCATACATCCCATTCACATAAAATTACATATTCACAATCAATCCATTCAGGGGAACAACATATTCAAAAATGGCACAAATCAGACAAGGGGTTCAAAAGTTAGTAAAAAGTCCTTTGTGACTAAATGAAGCATGGCTTTCTGGCCCAAACCAGTTTCAGAGTCTTCTATCCTGGAGATAAGTAATTCAATTATCTCCCAGGATAGACACTAGACTCCATTAAGCACATGGTTGCAAAAAGACACAAAACACTTTAAAATACATAAAGTCACATTTACACATAACACACAGACATTTCACATATCCCCAGATAGCTGGGATCTGAGTGCACACTATTAGATGAATGGCACTCAGATCACACAAATAAGCCTTTCTGCAGGGGAAATAAACAGGTTAACCTGCAGGGCCATAGTCCAAAGGGAGCAGGCGAGCAACCAGGCTTCTCCAGTTCACAGTGGCGAGGTTGGTTTCGCCACACTTCTCCCCTTTACCAACTAGACTAACAGGGTATCTGACCTCCTGCCGGTCAGTGCCCTGGTTAGTCCAGCAACCCACCCACAAAACAGAAACAGTAGTACAGCCCACCCACAATAACTGGTTACTACACCTGGGTAGAGGAGAACTTTGTCCATGTCCAGGTGCCTCACCACGACTGTGTGGGCAACTGTTAGGCTGCCTTGGTGGGTTGCTGCGTGGGCAGAGACCAGCGGTACTCTGCCCTGATGCCAGTGCTACCATGGAAGTAGCCTGGTGGGAGCCTGGTTGTGGGAGGGAGAGACCGACTGTCTCCCCTCTGGATACACCGCTCTGTGGCTGGGGAACAGGACCGACTGTCCCTACCCCTTGTGCTGTAAGTGCAGAGACTACAGTCCCATCTGCACTGTTGGGGGTGTAACATCTCCCCTTGCTGGGTTAGGCTGCCGCTGGGGAGAGGGTGTAACAAGCTCCTCTCTCTGAACTGTAAACTGCCGCTGGGGAGAAGGGGTATCAGGCTCCTCTCCCTGACACTCTCTCTGCTGGTGGAGAGGGGGACCAGCTGTCTCCCCTTTCATTATTTTGTCCTGTGGTTGGGGTGCGAGACTGACGGCCTCTGCTCCCTGCAGGACACTCTGCCGCTGGGGAGGAAGGACTGCACCTTCAGCTCCCAGTAACACACACTGCCCCTGGGGAGCAAGGACTGCACCTTCAGCTCCCTGGGGTACACACTGCCGCTGGGGAGGAAGGACTGCACCTTCAGCTCCCTGGGATACACACTGCCGCTGGGGAGGAAGGGCGGCACCTTCAGCTCCCTGGGGTACACACTGCTGCTGGGGAGGAAGGACTGCACCTTCAGCTCCCTGGGATATACACTGCCGCTGGGGAGGAAGGACGGCACCTTCAGCTCCCTGGGGTACACACTGGTGCTGGGGGAGGAAGGACGGCACCTTCAGCTCCCTGGGGTACACACTGCTGCTGGGGAGGAAGGACGGCACCTTCAGCTCCCTGGGTTACACACTGCCGCTGGGGAGGAAGTACTGTACCTTCAGCTCCCTGGGACACACACTGCCGCTGGGGAGGAAGGACTGCACCTTCAGCTCCCTGGGATACACACTGCCGCTGGGGAGGTAGGACTGCACCTTCAGCTCCCTGGGATACACACTGCCGCTGGGGAGGAAGGACTGCACCTTCAGCTCCCTGGGATACACACTGCCGCTGGGGAGGAAGGACTGCACCTTCAGCGCCCTGGGATACACACTGCCGCTGGGGAGGAAGGACGGCACCTTCAGCTCCCTGGGACACACACTGCCGCTGGGGAGGAAGGACGACACCTTCAGCTCCCTGGGACTCCTTTTTGGCCAAATCTACTAGAGATTGCAGGTATTCTCCTACTAGTTTCCTGGCGAGCTGCACGGCTCTCTCTGGGGGTTGGGTCCAAAGGTAGACAGCACCTCATTAACCTCTCTGTCAAACTCCTCCTGAGTGTAGTCATACGCCATGCTTGCTCTGCTGAAGTTAGTTCTTTTGTAGATAGGGTCGCTGTACGGGTACTAGCGTTGCCCTCAATTTGTAAATCCATGAGCTGTGTCTCTGAGCTGCTTTACCTCGCACTAGGATGCCATCCCACCGCTTGCCACCAATGTAGCGGGATCGCCTGGCACCCGACTGGGTACCTCCGTTGAAAGATGCTCCTAGCGCTTCCTGAGGACTCCAAGCACTGCAGCAGACACCACAACCACCGAACCGGAGAAGCATATAATCCTCTCAAGCATATGAATGCTGTAGACAGTTGAATAGGAACCATACGAATAGGTTTACTCTCCTAG